AACACCCGGGGGGGGGGGGGGGTGGCAAAACCCGCCCCGGGGGGGTGGGCCCTGGTGCGCCCCACGGGGGGGGGGCCCTTTTTGGAGGGGGGGAGAACCCCCGTTGAAAACTGGGTGGGGCACGGGGGGCCTGTAAAATTGCCGGGGGGAAAAGAGGGCGCGCCCCAGCCCCCGGGGGGACGCCCCTTCTGTAGTCCAGGGGCCCCGGGGGGGGGGGGGGGGGGGGGCGTTTAGCACGAGAAGGGGGTGAGGGGTGGGTGGGTGAGGGTAATCGTGACGTACCCTACAAGATTCTTGTTTAAAAATGGAGTCAGCATGGCGGCAACCCACTCGTGAGGGAACATCCGGGAGGGGGAGGGGGGGGGGAAGGCGGGCGGGGTCGAAAATCTCACCGAAAAACAACACCGCGTTCAGCCGCATGCGTCCGCGATGTTGACACATTGTTGCTTGTGGCTCCTGCCGTAAGACTCCCGAGCCGGTTAGTCTATATGACTAGCATCCGCCGCGGAATGTGAAAAACATTATCCCTGCTTGTTGATTTCCTTCCCTTTTGGGTCCGTGGATCCTGGGTACATTGTCAACAGCCCCGCCGCCCCCCCCACGTACTTTTCTCTCGAAGGAGCCCCGTTTCTCACCAACGTCGACTTGCTGTCCTTGTAGTTGTCCGGCTCCACGAAGAAGTTGCGCAACGGCGGCACGTGTGCTAGCGCGTGCAGGACCACCTTTGGAGTCATGGTCAGGAGCGGGCGACAGCAGCAGCAGCAACAACAGTTTCATATATCGGTGTCGATATTGCGCGGTGTACACGGCGGGGATGGCACAGGCCTCGCCACTAAAGGAACGGCAGCAGCAGCAGTAACAACAGTCATGCGGCAGTAGGTCCTCAGCGAAGCGGAAAAGTCATAATCCTGACGCTATAGTTCCTCACGTTCACGAAGTCCGTGCACTTGAGGTTGTTGAGCCCCACGAATCCCGGCAGGTACGCCACCCCGTACTGGTCCCTCGACAACGTTGTATTCTGCGGCGCCCCCAGGGACAACGTCCCGAGAGGAGCAGCGGTAGCAAAGTGGCATGCAAGGGGGGCAAGGTAGGGTAACGGGGGCCGGGGGTTAGGAAGAGCAACTACGAACACCGACGAAGCTGAACGGGTCATCCCCTCTCACACCCTATTCACGCTACTACTGCTGTACCGGAATACACGAACCATGAACTACCCGCCACTGACCGGTGTAAGACAAGACCTACAGACCCTTGGTGGACTAGAACACGACCGGTGTAAGACAAGACCTACAGACCCTTGGCCTAGAACACGACCGGTGTACTCAAGACCTACCAGTACAAACCTACGGCCTACAAGTAGAATATGAATTACCTGCCACCCATGACGACAAAATTACACAACGGTCTTTTAAGGCTGAAAAAAAACAAGGGTTGCTACAATTATGCGGCGCCCCCCCCATGTTTGCTGCGGATGGGTCGCGATCACCTTGTCGAGGACGGCGATGCACTCCGGAGAATATCTCGGGTCGAGCGCCCTCTTGATGTCCTCCAGGGACGAGTCCACCACCTCGTACGAGTCCGGGAGGCAGTACACCCGGCACGTCCGCAGGTTGATGAAGACGTGGTGCCCGTTCTGCACGCTGTGGGTGTAGGCGTGCGTGTTGCGGCCCCTGCCCTGGAAGTACTTCCCGCACACCAGGCACGCGTACACGTTGTTGTTCGACAGGGAGATGCTGCACAGCTGCTCGGGACGGGAGAGAGAGAGAGAGAGAGGGAAGAGGAGGAGACACGAAGGTTTGGCAACGGTTGGGTAAGGCGGGGAGGCGGGGCGGCGGCGGAGGAGCGTTGCGACGTGTTTCCGGAAGTAATAGATCCATGGATGGTCTTGGCTGAGGGCTCGGGGATTCTCAGCGGAACATTGGCAGTGATTACATCGGGCGTCGGACGTGGGGAATAAAGAGAGAGGGAGAGAGAGAGAGAGAGATGGAGACACAGAGAGAGACAGAGAAACAGACAGATAGGAAGAGAGGGAGATGGAGGGGGAGAGAGAAAAGGAGACAGAGAGAAGAGAGAGAGAGAGAGAGAGAGAGAGAGAGAGAGAGAGAGAGAGAGATGGGGGGGGGGGGGGGGG